CCCCCACCTCCCCGCTGCCTCATCCTGGAAGAAAAAAACAGAAACCAGAATTTCTCAGCAGATCTGGGCTGTACTCAGCAAGCGCAGTTCAGCCCTGTGCTCAGATTTGAAAAAAAATCAGTGGTTGACTGTTTTCTGACTGGTCGGCGGACCGCCGACCTGTCGGCCCTACCGGCCGGCTGCAATACGGTCGGCGGTCGGCGTCAGCTGTCGGCTGGGGTGCAACCCTGTTTCAATCAGAAAAAAAAACTTCGACCGAACACATTCGGCCGAACACCCAAACATGTTCGTATGTTCGGAAAAGCCGCGAACATGTCCGGTGTGCTACACAGCTGCTGATGTCATCCCTTTTTCTGGCATGCCAACATCAGATGAACCCCATATATGGAGCAGACTGCTAACGCTTGCAAATCCTGTATCCCTGGGCCATGTGCCAGCCTTTGAGTGGACGGACAGACATAGGACGGATAGAGAAGAAATATGAGTGGGTAGGTGGCCGGATCAATTGGACGATGGGTCTGATTCAAAGGGTGGCTGGGTGGATTACAAGGACAGCCCAACACGTCCACCCTTACCCAGGGCATACGCATCCATGCATGGCCCGAACCAGCCGTCCACCTGCCCCTTCACACCACTCATGCCCTTGACCATCCACCCAGCCACCCTTTGAACCGCATACACCACCAAGTAGATGAGCCTGCCTACCGGCATTATGTGTTTATCCCTTGTTTGTAAGTCAGTTCATATGTTCGCTTGCCTGCCTGGCAGGTTGCTGACCCACTGTCCACCAAACTCTACCCCACAGATACAATAGAGTGAAGTGAAAATCAAATTGATAATTGATTGCAATTTCCTAATGAATTTGTAAGTCACGTATCAAAATTTTCAATTTTGCTTAACACAGGGTTATCGCAGTTAGGTTTTTCATTCAAACTCTGGATTTGTGTTTCCTTTCGCTCTTTCGCTTGTATTTAGGTCATCTAATGCTGCCTGATGTGCTTTTTATTGTTGTTGTAATTCTCACAGATGTGGGCTGGTCGGTGTGATTGCACCTATTGACGACATGACGAGAATACATGCATGGGTCCCAGAAAGCTGGGCAAGAGCGAATATGGATCGCTTTGTTGGAGGAGAGTACTTGAAGGAATCGCCTCATCCCGGGATGCGGCGCAGAAAAGGAGGGGGAGAAGGTACACCTGCTGAGCCAGATGATGGTCGTGATCCACCATGGATGTCCAGAGGTTTCGGAGCTGAGGAGGACTGGGGAAGTCAGCGAAGGCTGTACTGTGAGTCTGACCCCGAGAAAAGTCAGCGCAAAGTGGAATCTGAATCTGATGTGGAAACTGGTGGTGGCGGCGGTGGTGGCGGGAAACGTGACATCATTCTCCTTCTACAAGCATTCGGGCCGAGTGCAGCTTTCCACTGGGGTGCACAGGTGGCTGTTCTCTATAAGAGATTTGACATTATTATGCCAGATCTTGTTTTCTTGGGGGAGAGTACCAGCCGAAGGTAATATGCCTTTTACCTTGCATTGGTGTATCTTCGTGCAAGTGTTCTCCCTTTGTTCGTTTGCTCGCTGTTAAACAGGAATGGTATGAGACGAGAACCACATCCACACAAGTGCCAGGTAAGCGGTAATGTGTGTTGATGAGCCTGGTTGCCTTCTCGATGGGTCGCCGGCTCAGCTGCCCATATGAAACACACGTCTCTCAGTTTTAGCAGCGTTTGATGGGCGCCTCCATGGCTGATGTCAGCATGATGGGGCAACCTTCCGCAGAAGTGACACTCGCCTACAAGGGCTGTCATTGACAGTTTAGCGTTGTGAAAAAAATGCTCTCCACCGAGAAGATTGATGGACGAGAAGTTTTGGCTTGTAAAGAGGGGTAGATGTTAAGATTCGGCATATACAGAGCAGCTAACATCAGACCATGATTGGGGCTCCAATATGATCGAAAGGGTGATTCTGCAAAGGAAGCTAAAAAACGTTGAAAGACATTAACGAGTGTGTGAGCAGATGTTGACTGACCCGGTACAGGCGAAAGACAGGTAGAGCACTCTGGCCCGGTACAGGCGAAAGACAGGAAGAGCACTAAAGCTTCAGAAGAGAACAGCAGAAACTCCATTGAGGGCCTTTTGAGGCAAAAAAAAGTGGGACAGAGCCATACTCATGATCAGCATGCGTTGCAACTGGACTAACAGTCAACACCCCAGAGATCCCCATAAACCACGTAAACATTGCTCCCACCAAAGTATCACCTTAGATGCAAACCCCGCCATAAAACCGTGCGCTTTGCAGTTCCTTCTTTTTTATTTATTTATAACTACAAGTGGACCTGCCCTACCTACGCTGCGGCGAAGGACGATGACAAAAACATTCCGCGAAACACCCCAGCCATCAGCTTAATACCATCTTTGCAATGTACCCCAATGGACGCTGCCCAACTTTGCAAAATGCCTCGGCAGTTGCCAAGTTTTCGTAGGTGCAATTGCAAAAGGCCAAGCAAATTCTCCCAACTTTGCGAAATGCCCCGGCAGTTGCCAAGTTCTCGTAGGTGCAATTGCAAACGGCCAAGCAAATTTGCGCACCCGCCTGACAGGGGCATAACACAAACATGTGAGCCCGAAAGTCCATTCCACTGTGGCCATATCTTTTAGGGACATTTTGACACATCCGCGTGGGCGGCCTTGTACGCAAGAGGTTCTGGACAGGGGGAGTTAGAAGGAAGAACATAAAAAACTGAATTCATTTTTTTCTTTTTTTCTTTTTTTTGCATTTGCACTTCCGATATTCTTGTGACAATATATCTGTGCAATCGCAAAAGGCCAAGCGAATTTGCACACCCGCCTGACAGGGGCATAACACAAACATGTCAGCCCAAAAGGCCATTCCACTGCGGCCATATCTTTTAGGGACATTTTTGACATATATCTCAACTTACGGGGGTATTTGGCAAATTAGCCCCCCCCCCCTCTCTCTCTGTGATTGTGTGTGTGTGTGTGTGTGTGTGTGTGTGTGTGAGAGAGAGAGAGAGAGAGAGAGAGAGTTTTCCATCGAATGGTTGAGCAACGCACCGGCCAACAGGTAAGTCTCCAACCCCGTGGCTGGCCTCACGCTACTTCCATCGATAGGATGAGCAAAATCGAATGAATCTTCCCCTAGAACATAGAAATATACACTACTACACGTGTGTGTGTGTGTGTGTGTGTGTGTGTGTGTGTGTGTGTGTGTGTGAGAGAGAGAGAGAGAGAGAGAGTAGTTCCATCGATAGGATGAGCTCCTCCTCCTTCTCCTGGTCCTTCTCCCACTCCTCCCGCTCCTTCTCCAGCTCCTTCTCCAGCTCCTTCTCCCACTCCTCCCGCTCCTTCTCCCGCTCCTCCCGCTCCTCCTGCTCCTCCTCCGTGAAATAACGTGACAAAGATCCCGCCATAGCCATCTCCCACGGGAAAAAGAGAAAAAAAGCCCACCACGTGGGTAGCCACAGAGAGAGAGAGGGAGGGAGACTGACCTCCAGCTGCTCCTCCACGACAGCTTCGTCCTCCTCCCGCTCCAACTTCGTCCTCCTTCCGCTCCAACTTCGTCCTCCTCCCGCTCCTTCACACCCTCCTCCTCCCGCTCCTGCTGCTGCAGCCCCCCTTCCAAAATACTTTTCTCACCCTCACCTCGCTTCGTGTCTGTCACGTCCGCTCATTGTGGCTCCGCCCGCCTGTTTCCCACCCTCCTGTCATTTTGTCTCTCTCGAATCCGTTCACCTCAGCCCACCTGTTTCCCACCCTCCTGTCCTTTCCGCTGCCCTCCCGTTCATATCCGTCCTGTCACAGTGCCTCTCACCTTTCCCATGGTCCTTCTCTGGTCACCGACATCCTCCGCTCTCGCTCTCGCTCGTTCTCTCGCGTCGTCGATCCCTGCTCTCCCTCTCGCTCGTTCTCTTGCGTCACCGATTGGTGCTCTCCGCCTGTGCCGATTGCCCGCCCGCACTCCTCGACATCCCAACAAATCCGGCTCCACACGAGCAGAAGAGGACCCGGTTCATCCGCAGCCGAACTGGCTCCTCTTCTGCCCGCGCGCGCCAGGATTTTTTCGCCCCTCACCCTAGGTTCCACTGGTTCCCCCTTGCCCACTGCCCGTGACCGGTTCCGTGCTGTGCTGCCCAGTTTCTTTGGGGACCCATGCGGGGACCGCTACATCCTTCAATAGTATAGAGAAGCTATAGTCTTCTCTCAGTTATACCTCACACTACCTACCTATCTATATGCGTTAGCGCCAGCCTCTAACCGTGTCTAAACACGAAGGGGAAACCTTACTCCTCTAGGGTTGGGCGAAACCCCAGGCGAGGGATGGAAGGGACGATGGAATAGCTCCTACCAAGACTAACCAGCCGGGGCAAACTGACCATCTCAGCAGGTGGACCCGCAGTGCGCCACAGGAGGCCGTGGGGATTCGAATGGAAGACATGGGCAATCGAACCCACGACCTGCTGAATGCCGTTCACCCTCCGGAGCGTAATATTCTCTTCCCGGTCCTGCCGACCACCCCAACTCTCTGTTCCCCCAGTTTACAGGCAAACCCTCCCTGTTCCCGTCTTTACATCCTTCCATTTCCACTTCTAGCCCTCTCCCATTTGGTGGTTTCCTTTCACCCATTTGACTCCACTCTACACAGTCCTCATCCGTCCATGCCATCCCTACCTGCCCTCATGGAAACAGTCGACGACATTTCTGACTCCCTCGACCCCACATTGCCTGAGACACCCCCCCTTGCAAGATTAGTTAGGCCATCTCATTTGCAAAGAAGTCTTGAACCCTGGATGCTTCTCCCCATGACCTTCTCCCAGTCTCTGTCCCATGGTCACTGCAGTTATTTCTGCAACATTGAGGCACCTCCCTATCTCCTGGCACCCTACTTCGGTTCAATTAGACCACCTATGGGCGCACAAGTTTTTGGTTTTCGTCCTGGTAGATGTGTTGTACACCTTTTATTCAGTCCCCAATGCTTCTCAGCCTCCTATTAAGTAAAGCTCTTCGAGCTCAGATCGCACAGATTTTCCAGCTCCACTACGGCTTCGTGGTAGCTAGCCGTTATTTCTGACTTCGAGGCACCTCCCCATCTGCCAGCACCCTACTTCATTTCAATTAGACCACCTATGGGTGCACAATTGTTTGGTTTTTGTCCTGGTAGATGTGTTATACAACCTTTATCCAGTCCCCGGTGCTTCTCCAGCCTCCTATTAGGTAAAGTTCTTTGAGCTCATATCGTGCAGATTTTCCGGCTCCACTACGGCTTTGTGGTAGCTAGCAGAATCAGCAGATCGCCTCTGGCTGCCAAAACTGAGGACCAAAAAATGGAATGGATAGTTTATCATCAATCGGTGGTAGCAAGCACATTACCTCCGGCTGTCAGAATTGCACCTGTAAAGAACGAGCTCAAACTTCATAATTGATCATGCATCTCTCTGCGAGGAACTGGGTCCTCGGCAGGGCTAAGGGGCCCTGAATACAGATGTGCCTGCCCCAAGTGAAGGTGGGCCTAACAAATCTCGAAAGGCCCATTGTTGTCAATTTCGTATTGGGGTCCAGGCAGTAGTGATGCACCATTTGGTTGAGGGAAACACAGGCCCGAGCAGCAAAGATATTCCACGGCCTTCAGGCTCTTTCGGAAATGCAGGCCCTGGGGCAGAATCGCAGCATCATACACAGACAGTTGGGAGGCCCAACCACTCGAGGCCCAGCAGCTGCAACCGAGGCACAGCCTCCTGGGGCCTACTGGAAGCTTCTGGGCACAGGCCCAGCCCAGCCAGGCCGCCGGGGGCAGGCAGAGTCTTTCCATATAGGAAAGAGCTCACTGCCTGGGCTCTCATTCAGGCACTTGCCAGATTGTGCGGCAGCGCTGCTGGAGCAAAGGCTCGCGTGCTGCTGTGCGCTAAGGGCAAGGTGCTGCATGTGTGCGGTCGTGCAAGAAGCAGGGTGCTGCTGAGGGCAGCGCCATAGCCCAGCCTCCATAGCTGGCTGGGGCTTGGACTACAGTGAGGTGCAGGGGTGGTCTTCGGGTGTACCGAGGGAAGACGTGGGCGTAAGACGAGAGAGAGAGAGAAGGATGATGATGTAAGGGCACATACCTGGTATTGGCGATGGTCTACATCTGGGCGACATCTTCAAGTACTTCGTCGGCTGCTGACATCAACAGTTGCATTGTCAATTAGGAGGCAGACAGTAGCTGTGTAGGAAGTAGGCTGGGCGCCAAGCGCCAAGTAGGGAGAAGGGCCTGGACTCTTATGTTGGTGGTGGCGAGAGCATGCTCTCGTTGACATTGGTTTTCAGTGTTACGATTCTCCATTGGTGTGATATTGGTGCAATGCTGCTTTTCGGGTACTGTGGTACTTTCTGGCTTTCAATGTGGTTGTGCATTCTGGATATTGTCATCTCGCTATTGCTCATTTTCCTTGCATCTCAGTTGTTTTCCGGAAAAGAGAAAGGTGAAAACTCTGAAAATTGTCCTCTGGGACATCCGTTAA